TAGGAAAGGCTACTCATAGCTACCTTTAACAAATATTGTAGATGTGCAACCAACATTAAAGTGTATATGGCAGTCACTACAAGATTTTTACTAATTTGGCAAATCTCCTATGTGACCTGCTACCCCAAATACTTAATCACACTTTCTTTGGGACAGGATCTCAATATGTAATTCAGAGTGCCCTTGAACTGTGCAGCCCAGGATGGCTGCCAACTTGAGATGATCCTTCTGCCTCAGCCTCCCAAGTGCTGAGATTACAGGTGTGCCACCACACTCAGATACTCTTAAAAGTCATTCAATGCTCCTCAATTTGTCATCAGTTTCCTCTTTGACACTACTATTCTCAACAGGTATGGGAACCCTCTCCATTATCACTTAGCCAGTTCTCATTTGCTTTTGCACACAACACTGCTCATGTCTTTAAGAACTCTGATGTCTAATACCTTTATCCTACTGTACACTCTGCATCTTCAGGCATCTCCTAAAGCTAGCTTACTTTCTATCGCTGCAACACAATACTGAACATCTACAACTTAAAGGAGAGATTTATTTTGGCTTACATTTCAGTTGGCTGACTCCAGGACAGGGTAACACAGCACAGGCACATGGCAGACAAAAAGCAGCTCATCAAATAGACTGGGAAGCAGTCCAGGAAGGAGCACATCCTCCAGGCCAAGCTGCCATTGAGCAACCTCCTTCAACCAGGCTCCACCTGTCAAAATCACATTTAGCTACCTGAGCCTCAGCACAGTAATCCACTGATTACCACACCTCCATGATCCAATCACTTCCCAAAAGCCCCACCTCTGATTGCATGAGACTTTGGGGGAACATCTAAATGCAAACCATAATACACCATGTGTATTTTTCTCATCCTTCTTCCATTACCATCCTTCAGATTATCCGCTTTTAACATCTTCATTTTGGCCTCTCATATAGTTTTACAGTTTATACCATACAGTTTCATTTTTATATTGTAGCCTTAGTGAACCTGTTTTACAGATTGACACATTGAGCCTCAGGCAACAACTACCTCCATTGGTAAATGGCTGAATTAAGGGCTTAACTTCAGATCTTTGGACTCTGACTTGTGCTACTTTCATCAATCCCATCAGTTGCTCCTTTGAAGTGCAGTCATTTACTTCAAAAGGGCTGAGTTATGTGTAAACTGTGCACCATTGAATTTCTTTGAGCTTAGGGTCAAGTCTCATTAGATTGTGATGGGAACAGAGTACTGTTTTATACCTGGTTATACTCAAGTTGGCCTTATGTCAAGTAGAATTCCTCATCCCAGCTATGTATAACCTGGTTCATTCTTGCCATCTTACCTGTATTTTACAAAACCCTCTTATTTATTGAGGTTGACCTCCTTGAATATTTCACCTTGGCTTGTGGAGATGTGGATTCTAGGCCAACCTTTGTGATCTTGGAAAGATACTTTTCTAGACCAATTTCCTTAGTCTATAAAATAAGTACACTTGTAAGCTGGAATTGACTCCCAGTTTAAAAACTGGATTGTTCCCTAGGGCCTCATGTATGCCATTCTACATCCCTTTTGTTTTATATAATTAACACTTCATTGGGTAAATTAATTTACAAACTTGAGAAAGCTTTGTATTTAGATACAAACATAATCATAAAAGCATTTCAAGATGCCAGGTGTAGTGGCACACAGCTGTAATCTTGGCACTCAAGAAGCTGAGGCAGAACCACCACCAAAAGTTGTAGGCCAGTCTGACCTGGAGTGAGACTGTCTCAGAAACCAAAAGGAATGCCAAGGCATGGGGAAAATAGCATGTTACAGTGACGACTGAATTCAGTGTCATGGTCTCAGCTCACAGCCCTCTCTGAGCCTGTTTCTTTACTGGTTTTGCCTGATCTGAACTCACACAGGGTAGTCCTACAAGCTTTTCCTGAAGGCTAATATTAGAAGAGAAGTAATGTGAAAAAACCATGAAATTGTAAACAAAAAAACACTATACAAATAATATAAGTTGTTAGAAATTATATTGTTTCTGATGGCTGATAAATATCATCAAAGAAAAGTGCTTCCATAAAAGTTTTATTTACCCCCACAACAACCCTGTGAGGTAGGGTGATTAGGGCATTTGAAGATGAGAAAACTAAATCTACATTACTTGTTCATGGCTACACTGCATAGTAAATAAGTAGAAATTGAGATTTTGAAATGTCCATGACTTTATACTGATTCATGTGGAAACAGGTAGAGAGAATATTAGCTCCCCTCTACCTTAATGCCAAAGGACACTACCTTGAAAAATCCCATTTCAAAAAAAGAAAGTAGTATTTCATTGCTTATTTCTACAAAGATTTATAAAATAAAAAAATATTGAAATATTTTACAGTTTATATATATATATATATATATATAAAATGGTCTCATTCAGGGTCATGTCCTTCAGCTATATATTTATAATCAACTATCCAAGTCCTAGAAATGCTTTTAAAAAAAGTATGAAAGACAAAAATAATAATGAACAACAGCCTCAGTCTTATTATTCTTCCACGTATCTTAACTTCTGTGTAATATGGTCCCAGTTTAAAAACAGAAATAAAAGGGGGAAAATGACTAAAAGAGAGAGGTGATAAATTTTTATCTTGTTGCCTACTCTCAAACCACTGTCCAAATATTAAAACATTTCTAAAATCCGACTATTAGTATCACTAGGAAAAGCTTTAAAAACCCAGAACTCCCAGGTCCCATTCTAAACTCAGTGAAAATTTTCTAGTGGTAGGTTTCAGGAATCTGTACCTTAAAAGCTCTTCAGAGTAATTCTAATGAACAGTCAGGTTTGGGAGCCACTGGTGTATCTTAAAATACTAATATAAAAATCATCAACAAGTATAAACTTGTTGTACTCTTATCCTCCCTTCCAAAAAACAAAACTCAAAATGTGGTATATCCCAAAGAATTCTTGCATCTTAGCAAGTAATTTTAAGATACAAAGAAATATTTATAAAAGTATGTTCTACTTAAACTTGGATTCCAAATAATAATTTGAATAGCCTTGAAGTATAAGATACTGAGTTTTGGGGTTCTTACTCTGAAAATTGTATTAATGAATTTTATACAAGTTCCTAGCAGGCTTTCAACTCAAAGGAAGACATGCAAATTAATGACATAATCAAATAAATCAGCACTGAAAAATACTATACTTAAATACACCTCATGAGAAGAATAAGAAAGTGAGTGAATGACAACCAAAGGCCTCCTGGCCCATACATTTCTGTTCCCAGTCCACTCTTCCCCTATAAGGGGAAATCAAATAAACATTCTTTCCTAGTTGCTTGGCATAGTTATTTGGTGGATAACTATTAACTAATTCAGATACACAAGATTAAAAGTTAACAAATAAATACCTATGAAGACAGAGAACTCTCAGGTCAGAAAAACTTAACTAGCTAATGATGTAGTATATAACACCATTTAGTACAAATAAATGAAGGCTTCAATGTCCTTTACATTTCAGATTTTATGTACTGACTCAGATGTGGAAGAGACCTGGTCTTTATGAAGAATTCTGTGCTCGCCGGAAAGATTTGTAGTAATAATGAATCGCTCTTCTTCACTGATGAGATGAAGTCTCTTTTTCAGGCAAGTTGACAACAAAACAATGAGAAATAAACTTCTTTAGAACGCTGTATCTAGCTGAAAAAGTCATTAGCCAAAGATAACTTTAAAAAAATTCTGTTAACCCTAAAAAAAAAAAAAAAATCCAAAAAAAAAAAAAAAAAAAAAAAATCCCAGAGAAATGTACACATCCATTTCACTGACAGTTACAAGAAAACAGCCGTTTATAGAAGTTACACAATACTTTCAACAAATCCCAAATCAATTTTGGGAAACAAAGCCACTGGGTAAATAAATATACATACTAGCTAATATAAAACAATTTATGGTTACGAAGTCTCATTACTTCTATTTTAGGACCCAAGGAGAAATACGGTGATAAATCTAGGGCTACATGAAATTAAAAACAACTGATTAAAACATCTTAACAATGATACAGACATTCAAAAGAATGTCTTAAAAGCTAGGCATTTATCACTGGAAATAGTACATGGTGAATGTCCTTCAGAGTTGCAATGTGTGTATGGTCTCTCATCATGGATCCATCTCACCTGCAATTACTACAGTTAGTTAAGACTTCATGTTTCCTGTGTGAGCTGATGGGCCGGGCATATCTGAATTCAAAAAAATATACACCTCCAATTAAATGAAGTGTTCTCAAAAGATAAAAGAGGTAATGAGAAGACAAAACATTAGAGTGGAATAGAGCTGACTTTTTTCTTTATAAATTTTTTTCTATTAACAATTTAAAAATTACCCAAATAATGTAATGAGAATAATATACAGTATTACTTTAGTATCAGGAATTTTCTCAGGCCATATAAAGTTTCTTTCATTTCTTTACAGAATATTATGCTTGATTATTTTTTTAACTCTTCTGTTAGGGGACTGAAAACAATTTTACCATTAATAAATGATGATTAATTTAAAAGTTGCCTTTTGTTATTTAAGTGCCCACAGGCACAATTATTTTAGGTGCTTACATTTCCCTGTAAGTTGTGGGAAGGCCCTTTGAGACTCCTACTTAATCAAGAAAACTTTCAGCAAATAAGATGCATGCTGAAAGTTCAGGTCTTATATAGGTTTTGCTGTTTGAGCATAAAAAGGAAGGGAACAAGGAAAAATGTAACTAAGTTCACAATTTTGAGCAAGAGCATATGTAAAGGTAACGTATATACATTTTATTTCAAGAAAGACATAAGACAAACAGCATAAAGATGCCCAGATGCCCTAAAGATAAATACATTTCAAAGATTCTCATTAAAATGAATCTGTAGTATTTTTTCCTGCAAGCAAAATACCTTTCTTCAAATTAAAAAAAAAAATCAGTTTCTGAATTGCAAATGCTTTTGCTTTTTTTTTTTTTTTTTTTTTTTTTTTTTTTTTTTTTTTGCAGAAAATCTGCCACGATTATTTTTTAATGAATAAGGATTTTCCACAGAACAGGCTTGGTCTACATGCTAGATTTTTAAACAGTTCAGTGACACAATATGCTAACTACACACACAACAGATAATATAGTAAGAAAACACTCAACCTGATGAAAAGTTAAAATCTTCATTAATACACTGAAAACTGACATAACTCATGCCTTTAAAATCAAAAATACAAAAATTAAATGTTTTCCTAAAAAGATTTCCTTATTTTAAGGATTCATTTGAAAATGAAGCTGCATGTAATTTGTACAATAAGTTGTACAAGTAAACAGGTAATATACATAAAAAATTAACTGACATACTCCTTAATTATCAGTTGTCCACCTTTAATTTCCAATACTGTACTTTCTTAACAAGCATACAAAATATCTCTTTAGAAAAAGTGCCGTTCTTTGACATCCTTTACACAAAAACAGTCTGAGCCTGTGGCATGTTAATGCAGTTGAGAGGCAAAGCATACTTTTACAAATTCTACCTTCCATAAAAAGCCTCCCGAAAAGAAGATTACATGCCACTATAAAAATATCAACCTCTTGTGGTAGCTGCATTAGAGAACCAAGGCTTGAAGACCATTTTCATATAGTATAGAAAACCACTATGAGAGCATATTAACTGCATTGGTGGCTTGGGAGTGTACTGTGCCACAGGATTATGCATAGCTACTGTTAGGTACCAAGCTGTTACACAGAGTTTTAAATTGATTGTAACTGAGAGCATAACAGAGGTACATACTACCAGCCCATGCAAAGTAATTAAAAATACTGAATCACTGTGCTGAATACTTCATTCCTGGAGAAAACCAAAGGCAGCAATACCTAAATCAAGCCCAACAGGTGACTAACTCATTCTCCTCAAAGATTGGTGAGCACAATGAAGTCTGAGGTATACCTTTATCCATTAAATCTGTGTGCCACTGCAAGATACTACCATTTGGAAATACACACCATCACAATGGTTTAAATCTTTTGAGTATTAGTCATTCATATATTCTTATCTACCCAGTCTCTTGATTTTTGAAAAGATTTAACCTACAGTAGAATATTACAGAAACAAAATTTAAATGCATGTCTTTTTAAATGAAACTTACATGGACTAAAAGTAGAGAATATTTTTAAACAAATATACAATATGCAGGCAGACAAAGCAGGAAAACGGCCATTCAAACATATAAAAAAAAACAAAACTAAAAATTGACTATTTCCAGAAAACTATGAAGCGCCTCAACTAAAAGGAATGCATAATGAAATTCTAATCTAATACAGGTCAAAAATGTAAGAAGGTTATAAACCTTAACAGGAAAAATAAAACAACTTTTACTGGCCATTCCTGTTGAAATGAGAATTGTAAAGTAACAGAAAAGTGGCTACAAACCCACTTAGAGCACCAAACAGAGAGAAAATAAAAGTCCATTTCATCTCTGTTATTATCATAAAATCCTGTGTAACTACAGGTCAAACTGCTGGTGGCAGAAACAGAATTCTTTATAAACTGCAGATGTCCTGTACATAAAAAAATTTCACTGGAGTTGCACTAGTTCTAAAGACTCTTCTGTTTTAGCCTACCTACTGTATGTATGCAATCTGAAATAAAGTCTCTTTCTGTAACCCTTGATTATTATTGGGCACCAAAGATAAGAAAAGCAAGACAGGGTACAAAAATGCAAAATTTCAACAGTAATGGCAATGTTTTTGTCTTAGTCCAAAAGGGTCCTGCTTTTTCTCCCCCTTCAGTGTTTTGACAAGTCTTTTAATCTGGGGGCAGCAAATCATGCAAGCGAAATCTGTCTCTGATGTGAGGTCGGACATCTTCATTCTGTGTGGGAAAAAAAAACAGTTTTTTTTAAAGCCACAGAATTTCAAAGATACTATCTGCCGAACATTATAAGCATTCTTACCTCTCAGAGAACATGTGCTATTTTATTTTATGACTTTCTATAACCACAAGTTCCACATCTGTAAATTCAATCATCTTTGGACCAAAAATATTTGGGGGAAAAACTGCATTTGTACTGAACATTCACAGACTTTTTTCCTTGTCATAACTCCCTATACAATACAGTGCAATTATTTATATACCATTTACATTGAATTAACTATTGTCAGTAATCTAGGGATAATCTGGTATCAACAGAACATTATGGAATCAATACCCCAAAAAACATATCAAAGGATAACTGCACAGAAATATGACATTAACACAATTATTTTAGGATTTTAAAACATACATAGAGACCACTGTGGGCAGTAAGCACTAGGGTTTAGAACCCCAGGTGAAACTCCAAATCATTACATTTTCTCTGAGGCCCCTTCCTACTCTAGGAGAGGCTCATTATTTATGTAGCCTCAAATTAGCCATCTCCAGCCCAGAAATCCCCAGCCAAAGCCTTTGGAGAGGGATAGCCTTCTTCCTGGCCTCAGTTTTCCAAGGTTCCTCGCCTTTCTATTTGTTTTCCTAATGTATCACTTCTTTATTTCCTTGCATTAAAGATCTTCCCCCAATCAACTGGGTCAATTTACTGAATGCTGATGAATTTCCCTTGAATAATGACTGTGTCCTTCCCACACCCTGACTCTGCCCCACACTAGGGATTGAATCCAGGGCCTTCATATTGAGCTACATCTTCACCCCTTTTACTTTTTGAGAAAGGGTCTAAATTGGCCAGGTTGGGCTTGAATTTGTGATTCTCCTGTGTCAGCCTCCCAAAGTGCTGAAATTTTAGATATATGACACTAAAGGCCACAACTGTGGTCATTTTTTGGGGGGGTACTGGGGATTAAACTCGGGATCTTGTGCTTGTGAGGCAGGCAGTGGCACCACTGAGCTAAGTCCCCAGACCACAACTGTTGAGACTTTTTTTTTTTTAACCCCTGCTGAGTTCCCACCTTGGCCCTGTAGCAGAACTTCTGTGGGTGATGGCAGCACTTACACTCCTCTGCCCTAAAGCACAACTAGTCTCCGGGATCTGCCAACACACCTTCACCCAGTGACTCCCAAGCCACTAGATCACTCTGTAGGTGGCTCTTTAGTCCTTACCATACACAGACCCCAGCTCCTTCACTTCTGGGGAACACTAACAGTTTCTCCAGAAAGCTCCCACAACTATCCCTACTATTCAACAACTACAGAGTTAGGCAGAAACTAAAAACCATATTTTTGACTCTCTTGAGACTAATACAGATCATTGGGGTTAATCTGGTTTCAAAGACCAGGGCCAAGCACATTCTTCTGATGCCCCTGCAAAGCATTGTTGGTACTTCTATTTGTGTTTGTACACTTTATTAGAAAATGCTAAACAATAGCATTTTACTTCTTCAGTGTGTAAATTAAATAGTCATAGTATAGGAAATATTTTGTTTTAATGTAAGAATGACTCTAAGACACACTTACCAGTTCTACAAGCTTCTCCAGAAATGGAATCAATTTTAGAAGTTCATTGTCATTTTTATCCATAAACCAGCTTTCTATAGGGATTCCATTAGAAAGCTAAAATGATAAATAAGTAATTCAATCTTCTTTTTACTTGTTCTTTGAAAACACTGATCTAAAAGTTCCTTTGAAAAGGAATGCTACCAAAGTTTTTGCTGATAACTCAATAATGCAGGAGACAAATGGTTAAGGAATAAACTGAAAATGAACTGATTTTTTGGTATTATAACACCAAATAAAGTTACACAGAAACAAGTTTTAGAAAAACCATTACAAAAACTGAAAACATTCTTTTATTCATTCAAGAAATAAGTACTGTGACTATAGTGCTAGTATCATGAATAAAAGGATATTGCTAATCTAAGGCAGAGATTACTGTAAGAAACCATATACAATTCACCCTTGACTTTCAAACTCAATTCATTCCTGGGGAATAGTTATAATTCAAATTGGTCAACTGCCTTCAAAGTCTCCTCATTTGAAATGAGGTTTCACTGTGCTGCCCAAGCTGGCCTTGAGATCCTGGGCTCCAATGATTTTGCATCAGCCCCTCAAACACACGAGACTATGGGTGAAGGCCACGATGCCTGGGTACCACTGTTCAAGTCTTGACTCAATAGTATTTCATTGAAGAAGAGTCTAAAGAATGTAAACCCTATTTTGTTTTATAGTAATTTCTATGGTAAAATGTCTTTACTTTAAAATTTAAGCTAAATGATGTCTCTGAGATACAGGATAATGGAGATAATTTTATCTAGGAATCAAGCTGAAATAATTTGTTTTGTTCTGAGGTCTAGCTGTCTTGCCCAGGTTGCTCTCATGCTACTGGGCTCAAGCAATCCTGTTTCAACCTCACAAGTAGATGGTACATACCAAGGCACCCAGCTGAAGTTCTTTATTTTTTTTTTTTTGGTACCGGGGATTGAACTCAGGACCTTGTGCTTGCAAGGCAGGTGGCAGCACCACTGAGCTAAATCCCTGGCCCTGGAGTTCTTAAAAACAGTATTTTTAAATGCAACCAAATAAAAGTAGGGACCTAGGGCTGGGAATGTAATTCAGTGGTAGAGCATATATTTCGGATGCACAAAGTCCTAAATTCAGTGACCAATGTCCTCCACTAAAAGACACCCAAAGTGAACATATTTCAATACCATACAATTCCCTTACCTCTTTTTAAATTATGAATAAACAAAAGTTAATACCCTAATCTCTATTCTGCACTGATTTTTTTGTGAATCAAATCTCAGAAACTATCTCATGGATGTATTTAAAAATGTAAATTGTATCTTGCAAGGATGGCTCATTTTTAGTAATACTTCAAAGAGGTGTTAACAAAAGGTACAGATATACTGACAAAACAGTTTAAGAAAATATTTCAGAATGTTCAGTAGACTACAACACAGGTAAGCAAATTATAATTCTCAACATGTTCACAATTAAATTACTAAATCAATAACTAAATGATATACTAACTTGGCAGCTTTTGTCTTCATATTTTTTCCAATCTGAGTTTACTTAGCAACTCTCTTCCTACCTGATATGCAAAGGCTTGTGGTGAGTTGTCAATTATTATGGTTTTTGAAAGATCCCTTCCGAGGATATTTAAGTCCTTTATATAGTTTCCTTGTACACAAACACAATGTTCTCGAAAAAGCCGGTGCCTAAACATAAACATAAAAATAAATTTACTAAAAATAAATTTCTAAAAACTATATATTTAAAAAGTATACACATACCACAGGCTTTACAAATACAAGTATTGGGCCTAGGCTGTGGGCAACAGTATTACTCTAAAAATTCTTAGCAATTATTGAAACCTTACAACCAAATGCTGCCATGCCTTAAAGAACTTTGGTTTATCCCAAAATGTTACATTAAATTATAAAAGGGGGATTAAAATTCAATTTTTTATTTCTTTCCCCAGAAAACTCAGCTCAGAGGAAGCACCTGGTTGTCAGGAAGGTCCTGCTTTTTATCAAATTTTCCAAATGGTTGACTGAGCCCAAAGAGTTCAAGTGACCTGACCAAGGTCACACAGCCCCAAACTGCAACCCGTGATGCTCCTGGCTCCCAGGTCTTTGGCTTTAATCAATAGGCCACACAGTCTCCCTACCCCTGTACATTCCAGAATAGAAAATGTAACAAGGAATACTTTTGTGTTGGCTTTTTGTAAAAAAAAAAAAATTTTTTTTTTTTTTTTTTTTAGTTTTCCTTAAAGTTTCTAAGAAAAGGTGCTGCTGAGGCCAAAACATTCCATCATTTTAACTTTTCCTCAACAGCCATTTCCTTTCATTTGTATGAGTGTGTATGTGGTCATTTTTTAAAAATCGGTTGAGATGATAAATTCAGATTAAATTCAAATGAATGTAAACTGATACTTCACCAATTTTAGTAATAGACTAAAGAATTTACAATTGGGCAGGGGATTTGGCTCAGGGGTTCCACCGCCTGCCTTGCAAGCACAAGGACCCGAGTTCTATCCCCGGTACCAAAAAAAAAAAGAATTTACAATAATACTAATATATGATAGTAATTGAGTACCACTGTTCTATTTGTGACTCAATGGTATTTCATTGAAGAAGAGTCTAAAGAATGCAAACCCTATTTTGTTTTATAGTAATTTCTATGGTAAGATGTCTTTAGAATTTAAGCTAAATGATGTCATTGAGATACAGAATAATGGAGATAATTTTATCTAGGAATCAAGATGAAATAATTTGTTTTGTTTTGAGGTCTAGCTGTCTTTCCCGGGCTACTCTCAAGCTACTGGGCTCAAGCAATCCTGTTTCAACCTCCCAAGTAGATGGTACATACCAAGGCACCCAGCTGAAGTTATACCCATTTAAACTCAAACTATTAGTCTCTCAATATTACTAATAAGTGATAGATATGTTACTAATATTACAGCTAGAACTTTTCCTTGCCTTGAAATATATCCATTTAAGGAACACCCTTAATAACTAGAAGTTTGTCTCCCATGTTTCTTATCTCAACTAACAGTTTTTCAGAAGGTAGAGATTACTCAGATTTGTATTTTTAATTATACAATTCCAAGAAAAGAGTATTTTCTAACCACACAAATCTGTCACAGCTCGCTCAACAAAAACTAAATGAAATTTTAACCTTTCCTCCACACACATACAAACTCAACCTTTAGAAAAAAATGTATTAGAGGGCTGGGGATTTAGCTCAGTGGTGCTGCCACCTGCCTCGCAAGCACGAGGTCCTGACTTCAATCCCCAGTACCAGAAAAAAAAAAAAAAAAAAAAAATTAGTGGCAATGGCAATGGCAAAGAATACTTTTACAGAGAAAATGTATTAAACAGTTCTTTTTCCTTTGTCATACGGAATATTTTAAATTGATCAAATGGTTGTCTTTCTGTAGAAGGCCAAAAGATGGTTCTACTTTGAAAAAAAATGACAGTAGATATTTTATTTCTACAAACACTTAGACATGAGGAAATTGGAGAGGCAAGTATAGCACATAAACAGAAGTCACTGCTGATGCCTCTCTGACAACAGTAGCAGACTCACCAAGACAAGAGACAACTACGTATGTGGGTAACACAATTATTTAGCTCAGTGGGTTCAGCACCTGCTTTGCAAGTGCAAGGGCCTGAGTTCGATCCCCGGTACCAAAAAAAAGAAAAAAGAATATTAGCAAAGTCAGTTTTGGGCTAGGGATTTGGCTCAGTGGTTCCACCACCTGCCTCGAAAGCACAAGGGCCCGAGTTCAATCCCTGGTACCCAAAAAACAAAAAAAACACAATTATTTTAATTAAGTTACACTACAAATTGCCCTGTTATTCAGGAATGTGAGTCAACATTTTGCAGTTTAAGAAAAAAAGCTACTTTGTTCTAGTCATGAAACAGCAGATCCTCCATGTCAACAAATTTGCCTTTCAATTCATGGAACGCGGAGATTATACAGGAACTGCAGAGTTTACCTTGTTACCACAGATTAACTCCCTACAGTACTCTAACAAATTTATATATACTGTCCAAAAAGCTTGTCTTGTTTCAAGTTTTTTACATTACAACTAGGTAAGTTTAAACCCTCAAATGTGTAAGTTTAGCTTTAAAAATGTATGTTAATTTAAAAGATAGTACCTTGGCTATGTATAAGTAAAATGAAAGCCCCAAGAAAGAAGTATTTGTGTTGCTCACCACTGTTCCTTGGAACAGAAATCTTTAGAATGAAAAAAGTAATCAAATCATTCATATAATTTTATTAAAGTCAGGTAAAAATAAGCATAAATTGCAATATATTTTTGTGAATAGAAAATACCACTTCCCAGCCAGGCCTGGTGGCACACACCTGTAATCCCAGCAGTCTGGAAGGCTGGGGCAGGAGGATTGCAAGTTCAAGCCCATCCTGGGCAACTTAGTAAGATCCTGTCTCAAAATACAAAAAATAAGAAATGGGCTGAGACTGCAGATCAGTGCAAAGATCCTGGGTTCAATCCTTAGTACCACCATAAAAAGAAAAATAAAAGGCCATTTCTCATTTATATATCTACAGGTTATTTAGATCACAGTTTTAATACAAAAGCCAAATAAATTAAGACAAAAAAATACAAAGGATCAGTGAATTGAAAGAGCTGGTTCTTTGAAAGGGTGAAAAAGGATGGGGAAGTAAAAAGAATGAAGATGTGATATGTATATGTACCAATTTCCCCATGATGAATATATTTACATTACAAACATAGACTAATAAAAAAAATTTTTAATAGGGAGAAACACTCTAAAATGTGTATATTAGGTAAAACCTTTCTGTATATATACTTTTCAACCATTCAATAATAAAGATTTCTTAAGAGTAGAAAATTTAAGATTTTTCATTAAGACATTATATGGGGGAAAGTATTTAAGAAAATTAATAAATAGCTATTAAAGCTCTTATGGGCCTCTTGTAACATCTCTCTGTTCTTTATCAAAACTTCAGACTAAGGTCCAGGGATTTAGCTCAGTGGTTCCACTGCCTGCCTCACAAGCATAAAGGACTCAAAGTTCAATCCCTGGTTCCAAAAAAAAAATTCAGACTAACTCCTGCGTGTTACAGGTAGCAAGATTGTTGTAGTCTTAATAGTCTCACTTCAATTGGAAGAAATAAAGGAAGTAATTTTCAAAATGTTTCAAAATCACCTAAGGCATTCCTGCATAATCACTGCATCTGCTGATTCAGGGCAAACAAAGAACTAAGCCCAGATCAGGATAACCTGACTACAACAATTTTAATTTCCAGTTAGAGTCATATACCACGTTCTTTCACATGGAAGATAATTTTTTTCTTTAAAAAAGCAGAAGAATTTAATTCAACCCTGTTAAAATTAACTCTTATTCACTAGGTCATATAATGTATTATGAGACAAAAAGAGGTAAAACACCATGTGCACAATAAAAAATTCCAGCCAACCCCATTCCAAAAGAAATGAAGATACACATATCACAGAGTCTAGAGTTCAGTCCCCAGTACACACACACACACACACACACACACACACACACAAAGAATTAAAGGCAGATGTCACAGACAGTCTCTGTATTCTTTAAAGAATGTCTGTTTATAGAGTTACAGAATCAGGAACTCTTTACACAGCTCTGGGGCTTAAAAACTCATTTATTTTCATCACCCAACACAGTAAATATTTATGCAGCCAACTAAAAATAGCCATTAAAATTAAATAGAATCATCATAATTTATGCATCAGTATACTGTTTAAGTTTCTTCTATTTCTTAATTAAATTTACCTGACCAGCTGCTTTTTAGGGTCTAGTATGTTCAGTAACTTGTCTGCATACACCTTCTTTGAAGCAGTAAAAAGAATGATCTACAAATTTAGGGGGAAAAAAGTAATCACTATACATGATCTGAATATAGCCATTATATGAATAAAATAAAAATACATATGTAATTAGCTTAATACATATGTAAGTAGCACATTTACCTCATACATCTGAGACATACGTTCCAGGAATTCCCTGAAGAATGGTCTTAATCGCACATAAACCTGAAAAAACATAAAGATAATTTTTAGCAAATAAACATAAAATAAACCATTTAAGGTGTGTTGTGCTTTAAATTTGAATATAATTTAAAATTGGTATTTTAAAAATGTTTACTAAGTACTAAAATCAAAGGTATTTCACATACAATAAGTTATCTAAAACAATCTTTTAATGGGATAATTATCATTGGTGATCATTTCACTTTTAATAGTTAAATAAAAGCATACAATACTTCATTGAAATATAATTTTAATAAGCATTTAAATAAAACATAAGTTTCCTTCTGAGATTTTGATCCATCAATCAGCTCCATCTTCCAGCCAGGTAGTGTCTATCCAATTATAGACAGGATATGTGTCACTTCTAGCTGACCTGTCTCAATGACCTTCCTCAATAAATACTCAGTTTCTTTTCAACAGTCACCAACTAGAAATACATTTTAAATTTCTATTAAGATAAAAATATTCAAGAAGAAGAAGAAGAAGAAGAAGTCTGGATTGGTGGGTTTAAACAACCACAATTTTTCAGAAATCAAACTCATTCTTATGTAGCATCTAATAGCACTTTTTGATTACTTGATATTAAAAGTATATAACAGTCAAACACACCAGTTCTCAGAACCTAGTGTCAATATCAGATAAGACTACAATACCCAAAGATCTGTCTTATGTTATCTTATTTCTCTTAATACTTAATATCATTCTTGTTATAAATGACTCCAGTATTCAAAAAGCCCAGAAATGTAAGCCATGAGCAACCACAAAACTATTTACCAAAGATTTTGACCCCTTAAATTAGATTTTGTTATAAAATTTTATTAAGAGAAAAATTCTGTACTCCAATGAAAGACTATTAACTTCAGATACCATGAACAAGTATTTCCAGATACAACAGATTCTCATTTTAAAAAAAAAAAAAGAAGAAAAAAGCATGTGGTAACTACAAATAAAACTCATGTTTGGTAGAGTTTAATTCTAACATCCACACATATCTATGCAAAAATCCAAGTTCTGGGAATGTTTTACAGCAAAACAGCACAAGTGTTTGTAAAGGATAATCAGAGGCAGGAACAACATACTATTAATCTATGTAATTTACTGAGACCAAGAGACATAAGACAATGCAAAATAGAGCAGACACTTGATGAAAAGTAAGTGAAATAGAACGGCCTGAAATTAGGCAATACATATAGTAGAGACCATCAACCCTACACAACTACACAGGTACACTCTTGAATTATCTTAACCAAACACTTAGTGAAGGCACATTTTGAATGATTATCATTTATGCTAATAATATAACTATTCATCTGGGCTGGATTTCTTGTTTTTAATCTCACTAGTCAGGCATTTTAACTTATTTCCATGACAAATTAAAAACAAAGTGAGCCATATAACCTCTCCTAGCAAATAAAAATAGCCAGATTTTTAGTATCCAATCATATCGATGAGATATGAAATTAACAATAATTGTGCTCCTAGCCAAGTTTTACATTTTGTCCTAAAATGTTTAGTTTATAGCCTTGACTGAAAACCAAACATCCCGTATTTGTTTGATAAGACAAATAAGCATAGATTTTAGTAATATTACATTTCACTGGCAAAATCATTTTTACTATTAATCTTTTAAAAATAATTTGCAATAACCAAAAATATATTATTTTACATAAATGGTTTCATTTATTTTTAATATCTTTGTTATCACTTGCTCCATATAGTAAACTAAGGTAAGAAGGGCCTCTATAATTTGGAATTTGTTTCCTCTGTCTATAACACACTTTGACTGCAGAAGAATACTTCTATTTGAACTATATTTTCCAAGCATAAAAAGTGGAACAGTACTCAAAGGTGACTTTTTTAGGTTGGGGGTTCAGTTCACTGGTACAATAGTGTTTGTTTAGCAATATGTGAGGCCCAGGATAAGCTTCACAGCACCAAAAAAAGTGACAATTTTCCAATTTCCAGGATATCTTCCAGATTACAAAGGTATAATTTAATCATACATTCTTCTAATATATTTAAATAACTTTTTTTTCTTTCTCTTTTTGCAGTGCTGAGGATCAAACCCAGGGTCTCATGCACATTAGACAAGTGGTCTACCACTAAACTACATCTGTAGCCGGAACACACATCTTCAAATTTAAAAATTATTTCAAAACCTGTTTACCAGAGATGAAAGGTGGCACTAAAGATGAAGGAACATATCCCAAGAGTGTTTCCATATCACGAGAACAGAAAAAGTAACTGTTGACTATACAAGTTCCTACCCCCATACTCACTCTATTTTTTTTTTTCAGTAAGTTTATTGGTACATTTTAGGTATGCAATGCAGTTACTTTCATCATTAGGATCTTGTACATGATGTATCTTGGTTCTTATTTTTTCCCATTCCCCTGCCCTCCCCTTCACCCCTTCCACCCTCCCTATTTACAAAGACTTTGTTCCCATTTATATTTGCTATTTTAACATAAAGGTATTTCATGAGACTAAGGTGGTTAGAAAAAAAAAACCAGAAGTTCAAAACAACAGTGAGTAGTCTGGAGGTTAGGGCTCTACCATGTGATACAAAGGCAAATCTCAGAATCACAAGTACAGATACAGTCTAAGTCATTTGGATATATTAAGTGTGAGTAGAAATATACAAGTCAAGAAGCACTAAATTTTGTCCAGTATAAACCAATAAAGTTATGTATGACACAGAGTTTAATTCTTGAGAATACCATTACTATGTTACATCAGAGATATACAATCATATGGATGCACACATAATCATACCTTAAATGCTTTACAATCCATTCCGCCAATGCCTTTATCTCCATTTTTCTTCTAACTTACTTTCAAAGATTGTTTGTCTTGAGCAGCCTACTACCCATTTTCTAACAACAAACTTTCTTTAAACTTATGACACTAAACCCTGTAGTGTCACTTCACTGTAGTATGCATTACGTCCAAATCTACAGTAACTATTCTACTCTATCTTTGTAAGAGTTCAAAATTTTTCTAAACAAACCAAAAACATTTTGGGTTTTGTTGTTGTTTTTGGTTTATTGAGACATATGTAGTCCAGGCTGGCCTTGGAACTCAATGGCAATCCTCCTGCTTCAGGCTCCTGAGTCCTGGGACCATAGGTGTGCACCACCATCCCTGGCTCTCAATAAACCAAATATATTTTGAAAAAAAAAAAGTTGTAAGTTTAAAATAATGCCTCAATGCTGTAATAAACAATTATGGCATACAAATAGAAATTTGACTGCTACAATAACACAGGGACATATGTGAATATGTTCATTATGCCAAACTTTTTTCTCTGCAGTCCTGGGGGTTAAACTTATCGGACATGCTACCACTGGACTATATCCCCAGTCCTTATGTCAAACTTTAAAAATAAAAATCTGAGTAATATCAGCAAAATACTGATGGAGCTACTTTTGTATACATGATATATCTTTTTTTTTCAGCTTTAATTGAATTTATTGGTACATTTTAGGGATACAGTACAGTTACATTCATTGTTGGGATCTTGTACCTCTACATGACAGGTCTTGGTTTTTCCCCTTATCCTTGCCCTCCCTTCACCCCCTCCTCCCCATCTACAAGCACTTTATTTCCATCTTTTCTGTATCTCACATTTTTTTTCTTTCCCTTATTTACATGATATATCTTGCTTATTTTTTCCTCATTCCCCTGCCCTGCTTTCAACCCCTCCAGCACTCTATTTACAGATACTTTGTTTCTGTTTTTCCCTTTTCTCACATTTATTCCTTTTGCTTCTTGCCTTTTCCCTACCCCTCCCATTTCCCCTTCCCCTTTGGATTTTTTCTTCCTATTTTAAATTATCTATTATACATTTTGATTCTTATTTCTGCATATATAATTTTGGGGGGCAGTTACCAGGGATCAAACTCAGGACCTTGCACTTGCAAGGAAGATGGCAGAACCACTGAGCTAAATCCTTGGCATGCATATATAATTTTTAAAAAATTTTAGTTCAGCGGTTCAACCTGCCTCACAAGTGCAAGGTCCTGAGTCTGATCCCCAGTATCAAAAAAAAAGAAAAAAAAAAAGAAATTACAATAACAGTACTTTAGCACTACTTGAGTATCTGACGGCTTGGTGGTAAGGAGAATTTCCTAAATGTATACAGATAAGTAAGAACAGGCCAATAATGGTTATTAACAGAACTAGATTTAATAAAAGTAGTCATTAAAATATAAATCCATTTGCAAATTCATTATAAATATTGTGGTAAAGTCGATTTAAAATTCAACTGAGTAATTTCTATTATGAAACTTTGATCTATATCATAATATGATAAAAAAAAACCCTACTCAAAGATAGTCAGTGTCAACCTCTATGCAAAAGGCTAGAAAAAATATTTTACATGTGACTCTACAAAAAAAAGTATTTCTAACCCCAGCTCCTGGCATACCAGGGATCTAACCCAGGACCTTGTACTTGGCAAGGCAGGAGCACAGTGCCACTGAGCTAAATCCCAGGCCCTCTAAAGTATTTTTAAGACCTGACAATATGGTCCTAACATTAACAAAGAAACCTCTTTGATACTTTATCTACGTAATCTTTTGAACTTAGGCAATAGGTTTTTTAAATGGTAAATTCAAGGATTGGCGATATAGCTAGAGGTAGAGCGCATCTTCAGCATGCACAGGGCTATAGGTTCAATCACAGGGTCCAGGGCATTGTTGGAGCAGGAGAAGCAGAAGCATGAGTTTGAGGCCAGCATGGGCTATATAGCAAGTTTTAAGACCAGCCTAGACTACAGAGGGAGAACTTGTTTCCAAACAAAACAAAAAACCAAAACTGCTCCCTCAAAAGAAGTAAATTCAGTAGAACTCATCCACTTATGAGATGATGTTTTCCTTTAAACAAAAAGATGACTGGGCTGGGGACTTAGTTCAGTGATTTCGTCACCTGCTTTGCAAGCACAGGGATCTGAGTTCAATCCCCAGTACCAAAACAAACAAACAAACAAAAACATAAAAACA